CACAGCCCCCCAGTACACCTTCAGCACACAGCCCCCACCTTCTTGAGCACACAGCCCCCCAGCACACCTTCTTCAGCACACTGCCCCCCAACACACCTTCTTCAGCACACAACCCCCCGGCACACCTTCTTTAGCACACAGCCCCCGGCACACATTCTTCAGTACACAGCCCCCCAGCACACCTTCTTCAGCACACCTTCAGCACACAGCCCCCTGGCACACCTTCTTCAGCACACAGCCCCCACCTTCTTGAGCACACAGCCCCCCAGCACACCTTCTTTAGCACACAGCTCCCCAGCACACCTTCTTCAACACACAGCCCCCCAGCACACCTTCTTCAGCACGCTGGCCTTGTACAGATTGGCCATCCTAGTGGCCTGGAATGTCTCGTGCTCCAGCTCCACAGCTCTGGTCAGGGGGTCAGCTCTGTGGGTGGGGGAGCCAGACGTCAGCAGGCCTGTGCCCGAGAGCCTCTCCCTGGTGACCGTATCCGTCCAGGTCAGAGCAGCTTTGGGCACAGAGTTGCCCACCTGGGTCCAGGACACGCTCTGGCTTCAGCAGCAGGACTGAGTTCAGGCCTGCCCCCTAGTGGGGCGGTGAGGACTCACACCCCCTGGGAGCAGACGGCTCACAAAGAGGGCCAAGTGGCCAAAGGCAGCAGGGCAGAGGTCTGAGGTGGGGGTCCTGAGGCCTCCGAAGGACCAAGAGCTTGGAGAGGGCTCTCAGCCAGGGGTCCTGCTATGTCCCTCCTCCGAGATCTGGGGTGCTCACCCCTCAGTGACACTGGCAGCCTGGCAGTTGCTGTGCAGGGCTTCCTCCAGGAGCCGGAGGCAGTGTTCTCGGGCCTGTGGGAGACACACACATCCAGGCCTGGGCAGCGTCTGGGGTGGGGGTGGGCAGGGACTCCCCCACCCTCATACCTTCACTGTGAGCTTGGGAATCTTCCTGCTAGAAGCCTCTTTCAGGGGGCAGTCATCATCTAGAGCGAGAAGGGGTGGACGTGTCCACACTACCTTCTGTGGGTGTGCTCTATCCGCCCACAGCTCACAAGTCCTGGGGCACCCCTGCACTCACCTGGGGGTACAAACTCTTCCACCTTGGGGTCTCTGCCCTGAAAGAGTCATAAGGACCCCTCAAGCCCTAGTAGCACAGACCTCAGGCCCAGGACGGAACCACCTGGGACCCGGCTCTCTCTGAGCGCCCCCTCGCCCACACCCTGGCCTGATGCCCGTCCATACCCTGGCCCCTTCACCTTGCGCAGCTGCATCTGCTTCTGATAGAAGAGGTTCCACTCCCGCTTGTGGGCCTCGCCTTGGCCCTCATCCCCGCTGCCTCCAGAGCCCTCGTCGTACCTGGGGCAGGTTGGGTGTGAGCAGCCCTGCAGTTCTCAGCACAGCCAGGGCCACACGGAAGTCCAGGGCAGACCACAGCACCGGCTTGTCTCTGCCCTGTCCCTGGCCTTGTGGGAGGGGAGGGGAGGAGAGTGACAAGGTCTACACTCTTCCCAGGGGACTGGGGCCTCAGACACCTGGCCGCTCAGCTCACCTGCTAAAGCCCCCGTAGCCCCTGCGACCTCCCTCGTAGAGCTCAGGGTCAAAGCCATTGCCCAGGGAGGGCCTGATGCAGGTGCTGCTCCAGCCGCTGCTGCTGCGCTCCACAGCATCCAGCTGCCTTCGCACGGACGCGGGGTTCAGACAGTGGTCACAGCCCCTGGTGCAGGTGGGGGGCGCATCCCCGAAGTACTTGGCAATGGCAGCGTGGCGGCACCTGGGGCAGAAACACAGCAGCCATAGGGGATGAGGGTCCAGGTCAAGTGCTCACTCACCCCTCGCCTTTCCGCCAGCGAATGTCAGCGAGTCATGTACTGCAACCCTTCACTGGCCTCTCTTCCCACGAGCCTCAAAGGGGGCTCTGACCCTGGCCACTGTGTGCACGGCCAGGAGCTCATGTCCCATGCGGGGACGTCCAAAGATGTCAGGCTGGAACCCTGTTCTGTCCTGTTTCTACAGGTCACCCCAGCCCAGCCCCAGGGGCTCCCCACCTTGGGGTGGTTATGTTCTTGGGAGAACCAGCCTCGTCTGTGACACTGTTAATCAGAGGAAAGTAGGCCTTGTCCATAGCAAGGGCTGCCTGGCACTGCCCTCCACTCTGGCCTGGGGCAGTAGAGGCAAGCTGCAGGAGGTACCCCCACCCTCCACACACTCTTTGTTTCTTTCTTGGTGGTCTCTTCCTCATCCTCCCACCAAGCCTCCACCCTGCTGCTGGGGTCCTGACTGCTGGCCACTCATCTCCCTTCCCACTGCCCAACCCTGTCAGAGTGCGTGTGTGGGGACAGCTGGGAGCTGCCCGAGGCTGTGCTGAGGCAACAGTCAACCCTGACACAGGCCAGAGGCCCAGGAGGGGACACTGGCTTCCCCAGGCCCTGACAGTAGCCACTTCTGTGGGGAATGCAGTCGGGTGGGGGCCCAAGAGGAGAGGTCAGAGTAGAGACGGAGCTGCCAGGCGCCACACCCAGGAGAAAAGCAACTGGTGTCTGAGGCTGTGAATGGAGCTCTCTCAGAGAGGGTCTGCGGGGTGCGGGCAGCACTTTGGGGATCAAGACCCCAGGGACAAAATAGCCATGAGGGGAGGGTGTGGCTCACTTTACACAGCCAAGTGGGGAAGGCCACTTGGAGGGGACAGCAGTCAGTGCAGGCTCTCTGTCCCACTAGGGGTCTCTCAGAGGCTCCAGGTACAGGCCACCCTGAGGACTCTTGTCCTGCCCCGCGAGGCTGTAGGAGGTAGATGGGGGCACAGAGGCTGGCTGGCTCCCCTTGTTCCCCCAGCCGGCTCTGATTCACTGGGGGTTTGTTTTCAGACTCAAAGGGATCCTTTACAGCTGGACTGGGATCAGTCCACTCCCTGCTCCGGGTGCGGCCAGCTTCGCCTGTGGGGTGGTGCAGACCACCAAATGTCAAAGGGCCCCCACCCCTGGACACCAGGGCCCCTCCCTGAGGGCAGGCCTGCGGACATACTAAGGACGCTGGGCTCTGGCACCGGAGCCCACAGTTTCCTTCCTCTCTGCCCAGGGCCCTGAGGAACAGGCAGCCCCTCCCTGGGCCCGCAGGACCCTGACTGGATGCCAGGGGCAGAAGGGCCTCCCAGGGGCTCGCCTGGGTGGTCCTGCAACTCCCTCTCTGTTTACTCTCCTCCCCAAGAGGGACAAGCAGGGCCTCAGCAAGGAGTGGCCTGCAGGACAGGCAGGGATGTGATGGGACACGGCCAGAAGGGCTCGCAGTGAAGTCTTGTGGGGGCTAGAGGGGAGCTGGGGGGTGCCACCTGGCATCCCTCTCCACCTCCCCCCTCAGATGGGGTAACTCTGGGGTCCCTTCTGTCTGGGAATGAGACCTCTCCTTCCATCAGCGCCCTGCCCAGCCCAGCCCAGCCCTGACCACACCACAGGGCGGGCAGTGAGGGCGGGGAGAGGAGGGTGGAGGGATGGGAAGAGCCAGCAGCCCAGCAACCGGGCAGTGGTTCTGGATGAAGCTGAGCTCCCGGTGCTGGGTGAGGGGCGGCTGTGCTAGGGGCACCACCACGGGTGCAACCTGACACCTGGATCTCCAGGACGACCAACAACAGCAAAGCCGGCGGCTGCTGGCTGTCCAGGCGGCTGTCAGTGGTGAGGGGTGCAGCCTGGGTCTGGAGAGAGGTGCGTACCGAGGCAGGAAGAGGAAGGCGTGCAGAGAGGAAGAGGTGAAGGCTGGGGCCAAGGAGGCAGGAGGGCTCACAGACCCGGACACCTGAGCCCAAGGTGAGTGGTAGCAGGAAATGAAGGGCACAGTGTGGCTGGGCCCTGATGCATGACCACGGGGACAGGCATCTGGGGCCACACCTGACTGGTTTCCAGGAAGGCAGCCAGGAAGTCCCCCACTGAGGGCAAGTCACCCTCTGTCAGGAGGGTCACTACTCAGAGGGCCAGGCGGACACAGGCTGCCTACTCTGCAGGTTCCACTAAGCCCTTCTCCATTCAGGGAGCTTAGGAGCGGCCTCAGCCGCCTCAGTCCGGCCCAGCCCGGGCGACTGCACTTCACTGCCCTGCCCCGTCCCTGGATCCACGCAGAAGAGCCCAGTGCCTTGTGCCCCGACGTCCTCTGAGGAGCCCTCGGGAGGGGTCACACCCTGTGAGGTTACTGACCATTTCCAGGGCAGGAACAGTTTGGGCAGCTGGTGCCAAGCGGGTCCTGACGTACGCTCTTCACACGTCTGCCCGTGAGCCCCCACCTCTGCCCAGGAGTGGGAGGGTGCCTGTACAGAACAGGTTGGTGGGGGACGGTGACAGTGGCGACTGGCTGGGCAGCACCACCCCAAGTGTCCGGCTCCCAGTGTCTCACACCAGTGTCAGCCTGGATGGTCCCCTGAGCTAACACTCTGGTATATAACGAGAGAGACAACATGGCCGGGGAAGAGCGGGAAGCAGGGTGGGTCCCGGTGTTCTGGCTGGACCGAGGCCGTGGGGTCTGGGCAGTGGCGAGGAGGAAGGGCATCGGGAGGCACACGGCAGATCCAGGCACATGCCGGGCTGACGGGAGACCAGCCACTGACGGAGGGACAGTGGGGCCGACTACACCCCTGGTGGGCAGGGGTCTGCGTGCCTATGTCCCTTGAAGGGCCCCCTGAACTGGGATGGCAGGGGGATGTTCCTGTCACCTCCACCTATAATTTAGCACCAGCAGCCACAAGGTAGAGCCCTCCAGGCCCAGAAAGGTGCAGGGTGGTGAATGGGGAGTGCGAGGGGTCAGAACCGAGGCAGCAGGAGGCCATCAGGCACTGAGGGTGGGCACCAGGACTGTGGTTAAGCCTCTGGGTCCACAAGTCTCCCACAACGGTCAGTGATGCCTCATTCTAGCTATGTCTGCAGGAAGATAACCAACCGCAGAGGACTAAGGAGGGAAGGGTACCAGCCCATCAGGGCCAAACACCAGACAGAAGCAAGCGCCCTCTGGAGCCCTCAGCCACCTTGACAGCTCTCCTCTCTGGAGCTTCCTCTGGCACCAGGGAGTGGTCTGGCCTGCAGGACGGCCGTCTGTCCCACTGAGGGGCTCTCTGTGCAGGAGGAGGCTATGCCAGACAATGTCTCAAGGCCCTCAGCTCTGACGGCTCCCACCCTGACCTGCACCCCAATCTCCTCTCTTGCTATCACATCTGCAGTCCCCCACTCCTGGTGGCTCCAGGACCCCACAGGCAGGCCAGGCTGCTCTCCCCTCCCACGGCCTGTGTCCACCTCTTGGGACCCTCTGAGGGCCCACGAAGCCCCGGGCCTGGCCTTGCCAAGGCTTCCTGGCTCACAGACTTGGGAGCAAGGCTTGTGGCGATTCTGGGCTAGAAAGACTGGAAAAATACTGAATGGTCAGTCGCCTGTGTGAGCCTCCCTGCCGTCCTCCCCCCAGTCCTGGTGGCCGAGGGTACAATGCCAGCAGCTGGATGTCTCCTGAGGCCCCTGCAGCGCACATACCACTCGGGTCACCTGACTGGGCTATATCGGGCAGCCAGGCCATCAGGCCCTCCTGGAAATAGCACCACTAGGGACTATCTGGGGGCCTGCTGGAATGTGCCCCTCCACTGAGCAGGACAGGGCCTGGACCCCTCTTGCACGCCCTACACCCCCAGGAACTATACAAGATGCTTTAAGACGTCAGAGAAAAGGGGACATAGCAGCTGTCTCCTGTCCACAGTGTGAGGGATCAGGTCAGACCCAAATGGGCACGCTGGACTTCTAGCTGGCTACCGAGGGCTGGGAATTCGGTCCCCGGGATGCCCTGGACACAACACCAGGACATCTCCCATGGGCTACAACTGGGTGGACTGCTACTCTTCCCAGTGTCCTCCGCTTCAGAGCCTCTGGAGGGCAGCTGGCTTTCTAGTCCCAACTTCTGACCCACCAACCAACCACTGCTGCCCAGCCAAGTCCACGCCAGCCCCCCCTTCCCTCCCGGGGGACCTGATCGACTCTCAACACCCTGCCTCCCCTGGCCTTCGGTGTGGGCGCTCCCTCCTCTGAGGAGCATCTCCTTGGGCTCCATCAGGCCCCTCAGCGTGTATGAGTGGGGGGACGCTCCCTCCTGCACATGCTCATACTAGCACACCCTTCAGCTGGCACCCCAACCCCTGCTCCAAGAATAAGGTGACAGGCCTGTCCACTTGGAGGAGATGAGGCCACAGAGGCGTCAGAACGAGGCAGAAGGGATCTCATGCCAAATGGAGCCACGCAGCAAGCAGGGCATGAGACCGGCCTCTCCAGTGGCCCCAGACTATGGACGAATGCCTGTTCCAAGTCATACTCGAGACTCCTGTCCAGGTGACATATCTGGTCAAAGAGTAAGTAGTTAGCCAGTGAGGCCACGGGACACTTGGCTAGGCTGCTTAATCCTGCAGGCCGGTATTCCCCTCGTCAAAGGCAGGCGGCAGGAACGGAGGCCTGCGGACTCTGCTCCAGTACGCTCTGCCTTCTAGGACACTGGACATCTGGGGCCCTCACTTCTGCATGGGACGAGTGAGGATGAGCTGACAGGAAACCCCGTCTACCTCTTCCAGCACCTCTGCCTGCCACCTCCCTCCACCTTACTTAAAAATGAGCCCTGCTTCCACTGGTCATCCTGGCTTAGCCTTCTCTGGGCACACTCACAGAAGGCAACGGAGGAGGCTGACAAAACTGCGCAGTGCTTCAAGGGGGCTGGCTGACAGGACACGGGAGGTGACGCCTCCAGTGCCAGCGACCCAGGGGCAGCACAGACACAGGGGGCGGTGACCTGGGTGGTTCTAAGCACTGGTGGCAGGATCACCATGGTGACCAGGTTCTCAGGCCACAGAAGAACCAGAACAGAGGCCCCAGCTGGGGCAGGGGGAGGTGGGCAACAACACAAGCAGTGGCCTGGCACCAGCCCTGCCGGTCGGTCCGACCTCCAGATGAGCACGGCAGTAGGGTGGACCAGCTCAGGCTAGGTGGGCACAGGCTGGCCCGGGTCCCTCAGCCCACAGGAGGGAGGCGGGCTCGGGGAGGTGCTCTGATACACCACGCTCCCTGAATCCCAGGCGCAGGTCTGGCCCTTCCCTTCCGTCTCCTGGGCACCACAAGACAAAAGCTTGTCTTGTCTAGGCTATTGGGCCAAGCTGCGACACACCTGGGGAGGGATGGGATTCTCTGGCAACAGGGAGGGGCTGGTTCAACCCATCCTGGAACTCACAGCGTGGACATGAACCGAGTCAAGGCTGGCAGGGAGGATCTTTAGATCACAGGGATGGGCAGATGGTAGTGGAGGTGGAGGTGTTTGGGTGGTGGCAGCGGTAGTGATAGAGGTGGAGGTGACGGTGGTGGAGGTGTGGCGATGGTGCTGATGGAGGTAAAGGTGGTGCTGGAATGATGGTGGTGGAGGTGATGGTGGAGGTGGGAGTGATGGTGGTGGTGGTGGTGGAGGTGATGGGAGAGGTGGAGGTGCTGGTGGTGGTGACAGAGGTAAAGGTGGAGCTGGAATGATGGTGGTGGAGGTGGGAGTGGTGGTGGTTGTGGTAGAGGTGGTAGAATCTGTTAGCATCCTTGAAGCCATGACACCTCCAGCTAGCACTGGCATCAGGTGGATATCTGGGGAAAGCACTGGAAGTACTGCCTGCGACCCTGGGGTCAGGAGCGATCCTGGGGTCAAGAGCGATGACTCAGGACAAAGCAATGGAGCCAGAAGTTCTCCACCTGTTATCAGCACCATCTCCAGTTCCCCCTGCCCCAGGGAGTAGAAACTGGGTGGGGACTGTGGGCCACCAGGAGGCACAGCCCCCCACCCCTTTCTTCCTCCTGAGCTGGGAGCCAACCAGACAGACTTGTTAGGCGGGAGGAGGGTGGAGAGCGGTGGCCTCTGCAGCACGGTGGGCGGTGCTGCCCCAGGAGCTCCAGGTGCTGTCCCTCCCAGCACAGGCCGGCGCCCCAGCACCATGGCAGGCCGCAGCTTCACACAGGATTTGCACGATATGGGGAAGAGGCTGCTGCTCAAGTTGCAGAGGCTGCCGAAGGCGGAGATGGTGGAAGTTGTGGCCATCTCAGTCATCCTGCTCTTCATCGGTGAGCCAGGTGACCCCAGGGCTCAGGGAGGGCTGGATGTCCGCAGAGGGGAGGGACCGTGTGCGGAGAAGCAGAAGAAAAGGACTTCCCAATCTGCCGGCATGCAGGTTAGGCTGTTGGGGACAGGGGACTCTTCCCATCGCTCAGCTGATGGCTATCTGGGGACCAACGCCGGCATTCCCACCACAGGACCAAACCAAACAGTTCTGGGCAGTGGAGGGCACCTACAAGGCCTGGGGGGGCGGGCACAGGGACAGCTGATGACTCTCGTCAAACTAAACTGGCCTTGGACTTGGCACACTTCCAAAGGGGCCTCCTCTGAATTGGGGCCTCCTCCTGAGAGATCTTTGCTCTCTGCTTTCTCCTCCCTGACCTCTAGCCACTGCCCTGCTGTTGCTGTTCATAGCCTGCAGCAGCTGCTGTGTCCACGGCTGCTGCCCCCAGCAGCGAGGCAGGAAGACCCAAGTGCGCCCTGTGACCTCGCCGTAAGATGGTGGCCCAGCCAGAAGCTGGAGAGGACCTGAAGGCACACAGCATGAGCCCCAGCTCCCGCCCAGGTCCACCGCCCTGCAGCCTTCGACCCTGGACAAGGAGCCACTGGCCCAGTTCTGGGAGTGCCCAGGTATGTGGACACCAGAGCCTTCTAAAAACATGGAGCTGGTCTGGGCACAGACTTCTCAGCTCCTAGTGGACAGCAGGTGCTGAGGTGACAGTGACTGTGTCAAAGGTGGAGAAAAACACCCCAATTTGTTGCCTATCTGCACTCTCGGACTGAACAGGGAAGCAAGGCCCTTCCTTGATGAGAAGAGCTCACACCTGTGCCGAGATCCCACCAGGTGGGAACACATCAGTATTCCAGTGTTTGTCTGTTTCTTTGCAAATAAAAGCTTTTTGAGTTATGTGTTCCTGTGACACCAGACTCCTTGCAGGCTGGGATGGGCTCTGAGAACAGGAGGGCAAGACTGGAGACTGGCAGGCATGAGTGGCATGGACGAACGGGAAGGTATACCCTGAAACAAAGTATGAACGGGAGTGCATGGCCTGGCAAACAGGAGAGCATGCCCTGGACCTGTGGGTGAATGGAAGGGCACAGTCTGGCACAAGGAATGAAGGGGAGGGCATGGCCTAGAATGGTGGACAAACTCAGTGGATGTGGAGGGGGGGCATGCCCTGGAACACAGACAACGGGAAGGCATCCCTCAGAACAACTGATGAACAGGAGGGCACGCCCCATAACAACAGATGAATGGGAGGGCATGCCCTATAACAACAGATAAATGGCAGGCCTTGCCCTGGAACAGATGAACAGGAGGGCATGCCCTGGAACAGCAGATGAACGGGAGGGCATGCCCTGGAAGAGAAGATGAACGGGAGGGTACGCCCTGGAACAGATGAACAGGAGGGCATGCCCTGGAACAGCAGATGAACGGGAGGGCATGCCCTGGAAGAGAAGATGAATGGGACGGCATGCCCTGAACAGATGAAGGGGAGGGCATGCCCTGGAACAGCAGATGAACGGGAGGGCATGCCCTGGAACAGAAGATGAACAGGAGGGTATGCCCTGGAACAGATGAAGGGGAGGGCATGCCCTGGAACAGCAGATGAA